CTATTATTTCTTTTCAGATTGGTTGTTCATGCAGTCATATTTTCTTTAAATATGGTTGCCCAAGGCTCTGAATTTCTTAAATTTCATTCACAACTAATGAGTTAACAAACAGACATGATTTGCAAAGTAAAGATCCTGTACTCAGAGCGGTCTTCTCTGGGAGAGCTTTCATATCTCAGTGCACTCCAGCTGGTGCAGTATCAGCCAAGAAAGAGGCATGGTTTGAAGTGTACATAGTGTAAAGAACTGGAACATTTTTAAATTAAAAAGAACTTCACCTAAGGTTGAAAACAAGTAAAGAATCCCCTTTCCTTTAACCTATAACTAAAGTGTGAGAGCAGTGAACAGCTGGGTTCTTGCAAGAAACAGCATTTATTAGTGGGCAGCAGCATAGTCTGCCAGCTGAAATCTCAGAGTGGCACTGTGGTGCACTCCCAAATCTAGCACACAGAATTAATTGAGCCTTAAGGTGGCCAAGCCATGGGATGCTGTGGGATGCCTACATCTAGAAGAAAAGGTTAAATGCATGGAGCACGCATATGCAGTTTTAAAGTCCAGCTGTTGGCCACTGTACCTATCTAAACATGGAATATTACAAAGAAATAGTAAAAGATCCAAAATATTTCCAAACAGCATAACAGAATCACAAAAGGCATGTACCAGTTAACAGAGGCATTGACACCTCACCTGTTTGCCTCTCACTCTAACTTGTCCATGTATTTTACCTTTGTTTGAACTAGGTTGCATAGAATGCATGAAGCCAAAGACTCAAGCTACTGTATAGGTCAGTTTCCCTGGTGTGGCAAGAATTTGAGTTGAAGGCAGCTTCATAGGATTGTGAAAAAAAACAATGGAAAGTGAATTCACTATTGAACTTTCACTTGCAGGAAGTTGAAAGAGAAATTTCATTCAGAACAGAATGTGGACTTTATTATTCATACTACAAACAGATGATCCAGGCTGCTTCCATCCAGCAAGGTATTGTAAACTGTAAAGTAAGTTTTACTTCACGTTGCCAGCTGCCTGTTTTTAATATTTTTTTCAAATACATTTGAGAACAAGGAACAGTGTAACTGTGAAAGATGGTGTAGCAATTGTACCGGCAACAGATTTATTCTGCTCACCTGTTAGGGAGCCAGTAAATTATGAAGATAATCAATGATACACTGGTTTCTATGCCACGCCTTCCCATTCTGATGAAGGCAGTCACTCTGAGGCACAACTTTCCTATCTGTTAAGTTTTTAGCCTTGCTAGTTCATTCAGTATATTACTTTCATTTTTATTCTTCTCTTGTTCAATTTGACTTAGGAGCTTTCTGGGAAGGGGCAATTTTTTTTGCTGTAAGCCTGGACAGTAAGTGGCACAATGAGCAACTTCCATGAAAATCATACACAATGATGAGGGTTTCTGTGACAGCCTCATGTTTTCTAGATACTTAACTGTTGCTTCCTAGCAGTTTTGCTTATACTACACGTTTGTCAATATTAACATCACCTGTGTTCAAATTACTGACAAGATCCAGTATGTACCACAGATTCTATGCTAGAAATATAAGTGTAAAAATAAATGTTTCATACATTACTAAATATCTAGTACTTGAATTAGTACTCTGAGCCACATACGAAGCAGGGAAACTGAAGACCTCAGAAGGTCGCGTTGATTCAGAGGTAATGTGATCTGAATCCTTGTCTCAAAGTTTGCAGGTTTTGATGAGAGATCCTAAAATACCTTTGAAAAAGTTATTCACTGTTCAAATGAAGCTGAAGGGGGAAAATGACAATCTCCTATTTCAATTTCTCTTTATCGTTAAGGTTTACATGGTTTAGTATATGACAATAAAACTGAATCTGTGAGGACAATTAACATACTTGAAAGAATGAATGTTTACCAGGAGGTGTTTCTCAGCATTCTGTATAGGATTCTTCCAATTCAGGTAGGCATTTATTTATGGCTTTAGATTGTAAGTGCATTATGAAGATTGCCCAGTGAATCATAGCTCTCCTTTTAGTTATTTTCTAATTAGAAATATTCCTAATACCTTTTTAATTTATAAAAGCAAAATGTAATTTGTATTGAATGTAACACCCCCCCATGAGTGTTTTATGTCAACATCAATATTCTTGTGTTTTACAGCAATACCTAGAGCCCATATATTTTTATATCTACACTTTGTTTGGACTTCAGGCAGTTTATGTCATTGCTCTGTATGTAACAAGCTGGCTTCTTAGTGGAACATGGCTTTCAGGGTTGTTGGCAGCTTGCTGGTATATTACAAACAGGTAAGTGAGATTAAACATTCAATCTTTCTAAAACTGTACCTCCTGTCAAAGGTAAGGCGTAAAACCTTCAAATACATGATTAATTGTATGTATTAAAAAAAATGAAACTATAAGGCCTTTCTCCATATTAGTCAGAAAATGGAAAAAAAAAAGTTTAAATAATATGAAAGAAGCAGAAAAGACTCAGAAATTAGCTGACATTGCAGACTGGGATTTTAAAATTTCAAGAAATTTTGAGTAGAAAATTTTGGCTTAAAATGGTCTCTGAAAGTGGACTGCATCTTTCAGGTGTGCCTGGATCTCCAGGTGGTGTACTGTGTCATCTCCAGCCTAGGATCCCTTAGATTTTAAAGCCACCTGCATACGTGCCCTTTATGTGTCTCCTCACTGCCCCACACCCAGGCTCCAGGGATTCCTTCAACAGCCTAAGATCATCAAATGTTCAGCTTCTCTCTTCCCTTATTCCTGTAGATATCTCCTGCACTGAGACTCAGAGAAAAAAGGTGGTAATGGAGCTGTTCAAATACTTTGTCACTTGAAGAATTCTCAATTTGGAGAGAAAAATTAAAGAACTGATTTTAGGCCAGCAGTAGGCTTGGCATGAAGCTAAGACTGGTGACATAGGCTGTTATCTGTAACTTAATAAAAGTACAGTGTCAGTACTATCCCAAGTGTATGATGTATTAATCAGCAGCTGTAAAGAAGTTTATCTGCAAGGATGTCCACTGCAGAATAATTAGAATTGTATAGTGGTAAAACGTTTCTTTCTCCTAAGATGAAAGTAATTAAAAAAATACACGCAGTGTGCAGTAGTTCATGTTTATTTCATGAGGTCATCTTTTCCATTTATAGAATATTTGAAACAAATTTGTTTTGTCTGTCATTCTAATAGTTCCTGAACAATGGAAGCTTGTTATCCTTTATGCAAATAGAATGAGTACATTAGATTGGTTTGGATAAAGGCTTCCTGTCCAGATGGAGTATGTCTATTGTAGCTCTGATGTAGAATTTTTTTTCATTCAGCTAAGCATGTCTCAGAGGTGTTGCTTACTTTTCTTTTTAGCAAACATTTTCTCTATATGAGAAAAAAAGGAGTTATTTTTTCATTTTAACTTTTCATTCAGTCCTTGTAAATGCCTGCTCTTTGAGGAACTCTTAGTAACTTCTGTCACATATTTTTTATATTAGAACATTGAAAAAAATGAGCAGAAGTTCCTAACCAGTTCAGCCAGAACACAGGCCAATGCACTGTGATCACCATGAAGAAACTGTTACCTATTTGTTCTTATATGTTCTTTTTGCAAGCCAAAAAAGGAAGTAAAATCACCTGCGGCATGAAAACTCCCATGTGCAGGATTTTGGGAGTGATTTTATTCTGGGGTTTGTTTGTTCATTTTTAAGTTAACCAAGCTGTGTTCATAAGATTTAATCCATACTATAAGTTTTCTAACAACAAGTGAAGCTAAAGCACAACATTGGACATACTGAGACAATGGATGACTTGCAAAACTTTCATAATGATGGTTTTTTCAAAGCCAGGCATGTTGAAGGAACTAGGCTGTAGAGCCTCATTTTTATCAGTAAGTAGTTAAAATACCACAATCATGCCTGTCATTGCAACCTCTGTCACCAAGTTGGTGTTTTACTTGTTTTAAATTTATGAAACTCCATTTGTTTTGTACAGAGTAGATACTACAAGAGTAGAATTCACCATCCCTTTAAGAGAAAACTGGGCACTACCATTCTTTGCTGTTCAGATAGCAGCCATCACATATCTGCTCAGAACTCATTTACAGCCTGTTCAAGAAGTGAGTATATCTATGGCATGGTAAAATTAGTATCAGAAAACTGTCTATAAAACTTAGGACAAAGTACTTATTAAGCACTTATAGCAGTAGATCTATAAAGACACAAATTACACTGTTGAAAACGTTCATCAGATGAGCCTTCTGTTAATTTAAATGTAGCTGAACTACAAAGGAATTCATTTTCTCAGCATGGAAAAGGAAGGTAAGCTCTAAAGAGTCCTAGTATTTTAGTCCAAAACAGTAGTTTGCAAATACAGGAGGCTGTCCTGATCTGCAAGAATAAAGGCAAATTGGTGATACAGTTTCTTTGACAAATGGTTCTTAAATCATTGCTCCTCAGTTTGTTCAAATAACTGCTATTTACAGCATAGTAAAACTTATATTGCATGTTAATCTATGAGCTGAAACTATTTTGTATCTCACCATTTTCTTGCAAGTGGCATTACAATGGTAAAATACAGACATAAAGACAAGAATGTGTAACTAAATAAATGTCCATTATCCTCCACGTACTTATTGCAGTTAGACTTTAATTCATGTTTTTAAAATGGATTTAAAATAAAGGAAGGATAAGGTGGGCTTTGGTTGTTTTTGATGGATGAGGGGGTTGTGTTATTTGTTTGGGGTTGGTTTTTTGGTTGTTGCATTTTAATGAAGGAAACTATCTAGGTTAAATTAGATTTCTTTCCCTCCTAGAGATTGACACTTACAGCTGTATTCATAGCAACGTTTCTCTTTAGCCTGACTTGGCAATTTAATCAGTTTATGATGCTGATACAAGCATTGGCATTATTCATACTGGACTGCTTTGACATGCTTCCCAGAGCAAAGGTAAGGAAGTAGGTTTGGAAGTAATCAAACTTTTTTGTTTTCTATCATAAAGCTTAACAGTTTTGGAGGTATTTTACTAACCAGTGGCCTGGATGCCCAAAGTAATACAGATTAGATACTGTGTTGCTTTGTGCTTTAAGTAATCACAGGTTTTTTAAAAAAGTACATTTCTGCAAGTGTAAAAATGAATAATCAAAACAACACCATTTCTGATTTTTTTTTTATATAATTAATTCCTATTGTTTAGTTTTTGTCTAGTTTTGTTTAGGCACAGCTGCTTATTGACACTATTTAGGGACTGCTTTTAAAAGTCATCATAACAATTGATCTAACACCACAGGTTAAGCATGTCCTCTGGAAACAGCCAGAAAAAAAAATGCACAGGAAATCTTTGCCTAATCTGAAGTCATAACAACGTACAAATTTTGCCTCTAGTATTGTGCATTCTTGTTTGTAAGTTAGATGTAAGCACAGCACCATAGAGGGAAGATGGACCAAATTGCATTTATCTTTCATACATTGAAATTCACCACAAAATAACAACATTGTTGCTGCTATGTTGCTGAATTGAATGATCTGAAAGTAAAACAAGTGTTACTGACAATATAATGGGTCATTTACAGTCAATCTTAGGAAACAGAAATACACTATAGAAGATCTCAGCATTGTCTGAATTTAGTGTCAGTGCAAAATTCTACTGAGATGATTTCAGCCCTTATAAAAGACAACAATAGTTGAAAAAAAAATTCTGACTTTGCTCGAGGAAAGTTACAGTAGTGTGAAGATTAATTTATCTTCATTTCATTTTAAATTTGAAGCAGACTTAAATATTAGTGGTTGTATTAACTGCAAATGAGTGTGGTGGCAGTGTATCAAAATAAGTGTGGTATATCTAAGAGTTTCTGAACTCTTCATTATATCTGCAGATGTAAGCTGAAGTGAGCAATTGGTGTGACTAATAGCTACCTTAAAAGTTGGCAAATTACCAGCTTTGTCCCAAATTCTACTAAAATGCACTTACTGCACCACTCTTACTCTACATTAATTTTACAAGAAAATCATTAGCTAAAACTGTTGGTGTTTATTTGATCATTTGGTGCTGACTTGAACACAGGACTAAACTTAAGATCTTTGTGTCAGGTAAAATTTGTGTTTGGCTACCTGTGTATCAGAGAATAAGCTATTTTTTAGTGTTTACATTTAGTTGAACATTTGTAATAGTTCAGCATAGCAAAAAAAGGAACATACTAAACTATTACAAAAGTTAATCTGCTGAACTGCACTGAACCATAACTTCTTAGTAATAAAGACATTATAGAGGCTACAGAAACACTTATTTGTCTAGTTCAGGATATAAATATAGAAAATATATAGTAATGGCTCTAACTGTAATGATTTAGTGCAAGATGATACTTTTTTTTTTTTTAAAATAATTCATGTTGAAATGAATTATAAAACATGCAAAAAACCAGTTGTGATTGTAAAGTTTTGTAGACATAAAAATCTCATTTTTGTTACAGGTTACATGGCTCTATATAATTCAGATTTCTGGATTAATGCTAGTCTGTGTCCTACAGTTCTTTAATTCTATGATTCTGGGATCATTAATTATAAGTTTTAATGCTTCTGTCTTGATAGCAAGAACAATCCAGGTAGGTACTGGAATATTTTTGTGGTACTAAATAAAGAGTGTGATATATAGAGATAAATGAGTAATTTATATGCATTATAATCTGAAATTACTAATACTAATTAGAGAAAGTACTATAGTGTAAAGCAGTAAAAACATTGCTTGAACAAATAATTAATTCAATTACACTAACTACAGCACCAAGCACACCAGACACCATCATTCTGTGGTTGCTGTTAACATTTATGATTGGGCAAGCTGCAATTTGGATCCTGCAAAAAAAAATTGCATAAACAGACCTTACCCCTGTGTCAGCAGGACTCGTCTTGGATTTATGGATGTGCCTCCAACAAAAAATGCTGTGAGAACTAGGCACTTGTCAAATTCCATTTACTAAAATCTGTTGTTTATTTCAAAGATCAGGATTTTTATTTTCCTGTATTTACAGTTCTTTTTTTCTGATACTGGCATTGACCACAGCCTCTAACCACTATATATGAACTTAAGGGGACATTCTTGCTCTCTGTCAGTCATGACCTGTTGGTTTTTAAAGTTATAGACAATGTCTAGCTGTAACTATTCCAAGTTGCCTGTCAGCAGCCAAAGAACTATTCTTGTATCTGAAGCTTTGAACTGAAAAATTGCTCAAAAACCTACCAACTGACAGCTAGAGCCAGAAGATGCTATTGCCACATTGAGGTGCAAGGTGTAATGAATTTATATTTCCAAAGACACACAGTATTACTGAAATCAGGGGAATCTTGGAACACAACCACTGTTTCACTGGGTGCCAGCAGTTGTATAAATACAATGGGGCCACCTCTAAAGAAGGCTGTTTGGCTATTTACAAAACTCTGCTAGGTCAGTACACTGGGGAGTTTTTATTATATTGTCCCCTCAGTCTTGTGGAAGAAGAGTGTCTTTGTTCTGGATACTTGGTTAGGTACATATTTTTGCTTACATGAACCTAATATAAATTTGATCCTGATCAGGCCTAGCAGATAATTGATTTCTAATAGTCTGTGTTGCTTTTATTGCAAATGCATGCAAACATACTCAAGTACTGAAATACTAGTATTTTCTTTCTAGAAAAACCTAAAGAAGGGTGTCTTGCTTAGTCGGCTTGTGAAGCTTATCCTCCATGTACTGTTAGTTTTGTGCTTGACTCTTCTAATAAATAAATTCATCAAGGTAAGGAAATTATTTTTAATATAGAAACTTATTATGTTAAAAGGTATTACACTAAAATCTAATAATCTACAGTAATATTAAATAAAAATAGCAATGAGACTTCACTGTGTTTTAGAAATGATTGTTTTACTAAACTTTTTGATATAAATTTTAAACCATTCTTAAAATGTTATAAATTAACAGAAATTGTACATATTCATAACTTCAGGCTCACCTGTAATTTTATAACAAGTGTAGATTTAGAGTGCATTCTGATACTGCTTTATTTTTGCATTTGCAGTTTTTCATTGAATTAACTTTTCAATGAACGCAGTTAAAAATTAATACTTGTTATAAAAATGTCGTAGACCGTCACACTTTTGGTTGCTTCCAGTGCACAGAGATAACAGCAGGCATTAGAGACATTAACATGTTTTCTACTTCTGAGTTTTAGTCTCTTTAAGGGATCTGTATCATTAGATTAAAATTTAGTACATGTGGAAATTAGAAGTATCATAGTAAGGTAAAAGTCATTGAAATAAAAAAATACAGCTAAAACCAGCTTGTCTTGGGTAATCTTTATCTGTAAGTAAGAAACTAAGCCTAACAGATATTCTAAAAAGTAACCTGCTGTTTGGACCCCAAGACCATAATTACAAGCTGAATGCTTATTTGATTGCAGAGCACCCTGTCTCAGTAAGCCTCTGTTGCTTCACAGTTTCATGGAAATGAGGAAAAAAAAATGTTTACTGTGTGAAGCTTAGTTTTATTGGTGCTTAAAATATAGTTTCCTTTCTTTTTGTTCTTTTTTAGAAAATTCTTCACCTTGAGTCAGATGAACATATATTCAAATTCGTGAAAGCAAAATTTGGATTTGGGGCAACCAGGTATGGTTTAGCTGCCATTTTACTCTTTTGCATGACTTCATTAAATGAAGCCTGCAGGTTGTTCTCATTTAAAATCTTGGTGATAAATCATGTATTTACCCCATGTTTGTCATACATTTGCCTTCATAATAATCTGCACAGCTGTGGCTCTGTAATCACTTGGGAGAAAAGAGAACATGTCCATTTTGACATGGAGTTATGAAATACATGATGACATGGTGATGTTTGTTTGTTCTTAGGGATTTTGATGCTAACCTGTATCTTTGCGAAGAAGCTTTTGGGTTACTGCCATTAAATACTTTTTCCAGACTCTCAGATACCTTACTCTTCCATGTCTACCTATTCGTGCTCTCCCTTATGACAGTAGCAGCTGTAATTGTTGCCTTTCGGAACCTCAGGTAAAATGTTTTTAAAATAATTCACATTTTTTTCAACTGCCATTCTTCAACAGGCTAAGGAGCTGACATCTGTGTACAGCAGCATACAGTAATACTTCCCACAGGTGCTAAGGAAACAGCAGGACATAAACTGGAGCTTTCAGGCAAAATAAGTTAACTTCCTATTAAAGCTAAAAACGTAAAAGATGTAACAAGACTAAACTAAAAAAAAAAAACACCATTCTTCCCCAGATTCCTTCAAGCTTTTCTTTTTGCTGTTGAAATTTTGCAGTATGTAGGGTTGTTTGGTTGGGTTTTTTTGGAAGGAGAGGAAGCAGGGGAAGGATGTCTTTGTAGAAAATAATGTTGGTTTCTTTAGTTCATCACATTTTCTCTGTGCAAAGCACTTCCAAACATTTCTCTGGTGAGACCCTTAAAATGTCCAGAAATGAGCTAGGATAGTCTGTGCTGAACTTCCTGTGACCTCTGTGAAGAAGCAGGAGTGGTCTGTAGACTGTAGAAGCAGTCTTTTCTGTAAACCTACTTCCAGTCTATGGCTTTAGTAGCATCCAGATACAGCAGCACAGCCCCAGGAAACACAGTTAGGATTTCACTCTCATCAAAAGGCCTGTGAGAGTAGCTGCTTCAAGCAATAAGCCAAGCATGCCTTTCTGTAAACAATGTATCTCATTCTAAAAGAGGTTGTTTGAAGCCATTGCATTTCCAGAAAACCAGACATGAAAATAAACACCTGATGCTGCATCAAGTTGCTGCTGTTAGGCTCAATCCTATCATAATTACAATAGAAGATCGTGGACTGATAGCAGTATTGCTGTTTAGCCTCAGAAGGATTAAATGCTTTTTAAAATGCAGACAACTATATGAAATGTGTTACAGAACTTAATACAACACTTTTTATTTCTTCTGTTTAGTGGTTCAAATCAAGTCCTGTTCATGGAAAAAATGGAAGAATGTGCAGTGACATTGAAACCTGAAGCTGCTTACAACTTAATCCACACTGTTCTTTTTGGATGTCTGGCATTAAGCACAATGAGGTATATTTTTTTAAAATTCTACTAAAGGCTTTTTTAGACAATGTTTTGGTAAGAGTGTAAAACATGCTGACCACAAACTAATAGGACCGTCAACTTTCTTTCTCTCCCTGATGTGTTTCTGCTTTTATACTGAGGCATTTCCCAAAATCCTGCAAAAAAGAATGGAAGTTTGTGAGCAGAAATGTTCTCAAGAGCACCTAGTGAAGTGCAAAGTTAGTTTTTTACTTGGTTATTTCAGAGTCCTGGAAGTCCAAGAACACTCTGTTCACAATTTCTCTAACTTAACTGCTCTCATCAACGTGCCTTAGCAGAGCTCCAGATGATCAGCAAGAGTTTGTCTGTATTCTTCCAGAATGAAGTACCTCTGGACATCCCACATGTGTGTATTTGCATCTTTTGGCCTGTGCAGTACAGAAGTCTGGAAGCTTACCCTGAAGTGTGTCCATCTCTACACGCCACGGAGGGTTAGCACTATACTTGGAGCATTTCATGATGTTTGGGTTTGCTCCATATCTAAACGGAATCAAGACTCAGGATTATAAGACGTCTGAAATGAATATTGTAGTCCTCTTAAACTGAATATCTCTGAAGTACATTTGTGTAAATTCACTAAATGTGTTTTCTAGTGGTTTCTGTATGAAGCAATTCTATTTGAATACACTAGATGGCAATATAGATGTGGCTGTGAAAAACAACCACCCTTTTACTAAAAAAATCTTAAATCGCCATATTAAGAGATCACCAGCAATCAGAAAACACCTTTATAGTCTATGATATTGAATGATACAGTGTTTTCTGCTCAAGTGTATAGATATAAATCCATCATTTGTGATGTGCCTGTAATGAGGGGTGTATTTGAAAACAAAATTAGAATACAGTCTTAATTCAAACTCTGTAAATTCCACCACATGATAAATATGTCAGGTACCAATACTTTACATATTAAAACTACCCAAGTAAATGTATCATCATAATAACCAATATTTTTTTTTAATTTCTCTTAGATGCTTGTGATTAAGTATTCTATACCAATAATTACCTTACTATACATTTCATATAAGGTAAGGAATTTTTTTTCCCTCAAAGTTTTGGCATTTTGTAGCTGCATGGAATATTCCTTTATTTTATAAGTAATTACATTCAAGATTTGTAGCTGAAAGTTAAAAATTGGGATGGACTACCTGAAGTGCAAGTACCTTTACGTGTATGAAATTGTGTGTGAAGGAATATGTTGGGCTCATTTGATCCAAAGCAGTTGCTCATAGATAAAATGTTTGGCTGGTTGTATGTGTAGGTTACCAGGTGTTATTTGAATTTTATGGAGATGTAAGTTGTCTCTTTTGGTTTTAAGTAAATTGCAGATAAGGTGTAGATTGTTAAATTATGCAATGATTAATTGTAGGAGGAGGAATATTCGTAACATTCTATACTGCTGTGCTTCATCTTCTATGTTTTACAGTACAAAATTGTTAAACTAGTTAAGTACTTACTGTTTTGCCAGTGATCAGGCCCAACAAAAATGACGGCACCAGCAGGAAGATGAACCAATACACAGACTGTATTGTAGACAAGAAGGACATTCCATGAATGATTGCTGGGGGTACAAACAGATCAACAGCTGGTACATAATTGACACCACCCCCAACGATCCCACAAAGGACATAACTCGGCCCACAACAGGTGGAACAAACAGAGACCTGCGGTTGCCCACAGCTGGCATGGGAAACAGCCAGAGCAGCAAGCTGAACACATCAGAGAAAGGTGCCCACGTGGTGACTCTCACCCGATCAGCCCACGTTCACAAAGGTCTAAACAGACCAGGGCCCAGCTCCAGGGAGAGTCAGGAGGTCTGCCCTGAACCAGGACGCTCTGTGGAGTGCACTCCACAGACAGACACTCCTGACTCCCTGCCAGTGGTCCCAGCTTTTATCCCCCAGCAGACCCCTGACCTTTGTCAGCTCCCTGCGGGACCCCTGGGGCTCATTTCCCTTCTGGCTCTCCCTGCAGGGCCGGCCGCACCCTGGGGGGAAGCTCTAAGGCAAACTCACCCCTCTGGATGAAGGGCTGTGGGAATCACCCATATGTCAACCTTAATTTGGGGCTTGGGGTTCAGACCCCAGCATTTCACTTACATTACCTTCAGTCTTTCTGAGAAACACAGAGTGTTATGGTCAAACATTTAAATGTAGATACATTAAATGTTTAAAGTAATAACATGTACAAGATTATTAGTCTGTCATAGCAGAGAGATTTAGAACATTAATTTAATGGACATACCATTCTTTCAATCTGCATTTACAAAGACAAAAAATTCAGGTGCCACTTCGATGGAGAAGTTATTTCTGCAATATCTATTGTGAGATGAAGATATTTCTGTTAAATAATTACCCTCAGACAAACTCAAGGTGAATTTCATTACAAAAGTGAAAAGGCAGTAGTAAAGCATACCAGTTAAAGCTGCTAGTAGAGTTCACTCTGGAAGCCTATTCTCCACTTCAAAACAGCAAAACAAAAAGAGAAGACTAACAGTTAGTTTGGCAGTTACATGTAGTTACATTGATTTATTCCACCCAAACTGACTTGCTATTCTGCTAGAGGACTTTTTAGGAATTTTTTTCCATTGGTATGGTGGTTAGAGAAATGATTTACTGTTTTTATCAGCTCTGAAAATGATAGAAATAATGCCATTTCTTTTGACATGGGTGATACCAAGATCATGACATTCTAATATAGTCTAATGTGACAGATAACTAGGAATAATTTTCCTCCCACTCTTCATGAGCGGATATGAAGTTCCTAAATCCTGTCAGATTAAATTCTGAAGTCAGCAGAAGTCACTGATTTTTATAGGCTTTAGATCAGTCATTAGTTGTGCTCAGTCTGCCTGAAAAGCATTATTTCTGTTTCTTCTATATGTAGGAAATAATTTTTACTGACCTGAAAAATACAGTTTTTTAAACTGCTCAGTGGGTATCAAGAGATACATCAGCCCTCAATTTATTTGTCTTAAGTGAGTTCTGGAGTTCACCTACCAGAGGATTGGATATCTTTGTGTGTGTGTGTGTCTTTTCTGCACACTGTAGGAGTTAAGTGTGCCTTCAGGAAAGGAGACTACCTGACAGACATTTAAAACCTGTCACCAGATTCCCTGGAAACAGTCAGAATAACAAGTCTTGCAGAGGGAGGTCCAGAAAGTATCGGTTGCTTCTGTGAGAATGTATTTGTATATTGTCTCTCTAAAACCTTTAGAAGCAAACTGACAGTGCAGGTACATTCCTATAACAGAGAACTAGTCAATCTTTCTGGTTTCCAGGTAAGAAGTTGTGTTCATGCACTGTGACTGCTCAGACTGAGTGAGCAGTTTGCATATTCACCACAAAATTAAGTGGTCATCACGGCTAGTTTTCTTGAACTATTACTAGGGCAAATGTGTATTCTGTTACCTGCCAGGGTTAGCTTTTTCAGAAGAACTATTCTTTACTGCCATTTCTCAAAATAGGAGTTTTATGGGATTATTAACCTAATCCTGAGTAAGCTGATGAAAGCCTCTTTTGAGGGATGTAGTTCCTATAGTCCAAAATACATCACTTGAGTAGTAATTCACTGAGATACAGATGTAGCTACAATGCTATCATTCCGATTTCAGGTACAGCATGTTTTGAGACCTATAAGACACCCCTATTTCTATTTACACAGGTTTTCCTCATCAGTATAGCACAAACATATTTTAGATAAAGTGAAAGTAGGAGTATTTCCATGCATACTTTAGCTGTGCTGCAGATAACACAGCACCTGTATCATGCAGTACTAAATATTATTTATGTGTCGCTTCATCCTCTACAGGTAGTTTTCAGCTGTATCTGTGTCCATTGCATTTACCTTCTCAGCAGAGTGTTCTATATCAGCAGAGTGATATATAGCAGAGTATATATCCTCAATATATAGCTATGGGGATAGGAACTATTAATATATCAAAGTACACTGAAAACCTAAAGTACACCAGACATACAGTAAGACACCTAAGCATTGGTGTACTGGATGAAATCCAAAATCCATGATCATGAGCAGGACTGATATGTGAAAGAGAAAGCTGAAATCTTTCTACAATACAGAGAGCTGGGGTGGTGTTTTCACTCACAGAAGATTTAATTTTACTCCTGAAAGTTAAAAATTGTCTTGGATCCACCAAGGAGCTGAGATGACAGAACAAATAACAACTTTAGCACCTGAAACTCATAATAGCTCAGTTTCTTTTTATAGTAATGTTACCAAGTTCAGAGTTTATTATTTCATTTATTGTTGTAAATCATAGGTCTTTGTGATATTTTTCAATGAGTAATTACATACCTTAGGAAAAATATTGCCCATTATCACTTAGGAGTATGCCACCTTTCTGTTATTTTGGCTTTCTTTTTGGTTTTGATGTGAGTCAGCAATAACGTGTTATGTCACCTTGTCCTATGCAAGTGTTTAAACCTTTGGGAAATTACAAGCCCTTAAGATTTTTCCAGTCTAGAACAAAAACCCTGTGTTGCTAATTCAAGCCACTTGACAACAGGCTCCTTTTCCTAAAGACTTTGACCCCAGAGACAACCATGTTACAAGTTGGAAACCTCTTTTACATAGTGCTATCACTCGTTACTCTGAGCAGTTTGTTACATTCCTTATATACTCCATCTGTTCTTTTTATCCATTCATTGTGTCATGGTGCACTTTTTCTCAATCTGGCAAGTACTTGATTTACAAGTCCCATGTTCTTGTATGCTTTTCTTTGTTATTTTTACTTTATTGTACTTGCAACTTCTAAAGTTTTTCAGTTTTCTCTTGGCTTGACTAGGTAAATGTTGTGTTACCTGAAAATTTTGCTACCTCAGAATTCTCTACTTTTAAATTCAGTAATAACAAGCCACAGTACAAAAATTTTTGTCCAGTGAAAACTATTTGTCCTCACTTAGAAGTTGCAGTACTATGATATTGTGACTTGAAAAACCTATCTAGATTAGTTAATGCCATATAACAGTGCCAGCATTCAGTGGGTAGCACAGTGTCACTAGATCCTCAGTGGACTGCAGGGCAGACTTGCAGCATGATCTAGAAGCAGAGCAGAAGCAGAGCACATTTCCTTCTGTCTCCACCATGAAGGACTCTGAGTTCTCAAAATATTTAGCTCTCCAGGGTAGTTTAGTAATGAAAAGAGGAAAATTTGATTCATTATGAGACCCTACAGTCTCATTTCACAACTGCTGAATTTATTTACTAAACTCTTAAGAGATCAATCCAAAGAACAGAAATATGTCTGTTATAATACTACTGTACTTTGCAAAACAGTAAAGTTGTGATACTGCCATATCTTTTAGATGTTTCCCAATCTAGCAACCAGTATTACTTTAACAAATATATCAAGTAAACAATTAAACCACTAAGTGTTTAATTGGCCCAATTATATCTCCTGCTCCCCAGTCCTCCTACATAATTACAGTTGTAGTGGAAGAGTGAATATTTTTGCTAAGTAGCTCAGCAGCTTCACGTTCAAATTCTTTGTGAACTCTTGGATGAATAATATCTAAATTGGATGATTTATGGCTGTTGAGATTTTGAAGAGGGTTTTCTTACGCTTTTTCCTATGACATTTCACTTTGCAAGCCAGAAATCCTCATTATCTAAAGCAAGCAGGTTTGGAATAGGTTTCACCGTGAGGGCCTCTGTAGTAGAGACTGATGCAAAGCAGTCAGTCATTGGCATTGTCATTAGCTCTCCTAATTGCTCCCTTTGGCCCTTGAGTATTTACTAGCTTAAACAACAAGAAAGCCCTAAAAAAAAAATAAATCTTTGCTCTGTTTGCTTTGGGGGGGATAGATAAGCTTTTCAAAATCAACTTCAATCCCTGTTTCTTTCCTCCAGATTTGTATTCTTTGTCATCAGTAGATTTGGAAATGTTTTCCCCCCAACATTCTATTGGATGCTGCCATTCAGACATACTTTTTTTTTTTTCCTTCAGTGGTTCTCTTTTAGTTAAAACTTCTGCCATTAATGGCATCCACAGGATATCTAGTGCATTTAACTTCTGATACAGATTTCCTAGCTTTTTTAATTTAATTGTAAGTTGCCTTTCCAAACTTAATGCCTGGGGCCTTTCCTTCTCCTGTAATCATAGGCATTACTTACTGGCTTGGTTGTTACATTCTGAACTGTCACATGATGCCTCTTTATGTTCTTGTTTTCTTAAAGCTCAGTCTGTCAATAAGTTAAAAGATTAACATTGATCCTGTAGTTCAGGGAACTGAAATGGTTCACATGTAAAGTAGATACAACACACAACAGTCACATATGGTGGCAACTTTTAGTTTCCCATCAATTTTAAGATGCAAAGTGATCTTAACTATTAGAGTTCTGGAAACCTCCAGTGAGATGTGCATCTGAGAAAAGCTGTTCTTCTCGGGCTCTCCACAGTAGGTAGTTCTGTTCCTTCTGGTCATCTGGCAGGAGCTGCAGGTCTCAGACCCTGAAACTGTGTATCCACACTGCATTGACAGCCACCTGTCCCTCATAAAGAGGGCCTGTGTCTTGCAGCTCATCCATGAGCTGGACAACCTTGGTTACCAGCTAAGAGGAAATGCTGTGTTTCAACGTCCAGAACTTGTTTTGGTCATTCTGTCTTCAGTTTGTTTATTTTGTTTTCATTATAGTTCTGTCCAGGAATAATGGATGAACTGTCAGAGCTGAGAGAATTCTATGACCCAGACACTGTGGAGCTGATGAACTGGATTAAGTAAGAGGATTTTTTTTCTCTATTTATGTTAAATGCTATTTGTGTAGATATAATGTTCTTAGTTATAGTGTCCTCCTTATTTGTCACAGCTCATCAGTGAACTCTGGTGACCCATGGAGGGAGATAAGGATGAATGGGCTATCAAGAGGTTAGCATATTAATGGCTGTGGAGAACAGTTCTATGCAGAGTCCCCCACACTGCTCTGCTCTGGTTCAGTATCATGGTGCTGTATTAAATGCATGTCAGGGAACCAGTTGACTCCATTTCCTCCCATGAGTACACATAGTTTTCCCAGCTGAAAGAGGTAAATTTGGTGTCCAACTTCTTCCATCATGTTATAGCTACCTCTTCATAGTAATAGACCTTTGCAGTTAAATAATTTTAACTTTCTTTCTTCCCCCCAACCTGCTGTCCTTCCCTTTTTGATTTTATAATTTTAAAAGTTTGGATGTACACTTGTAGGGCTGGAAAATCTGTACTCTACAGTCTGTTTCTTGAACTTTGAAATAATCTAAATTGTTTATACTACTTAAAATGAATCCAAATTAGTTCTGAACTGTAAACAAAATGTTTGTAATTGAACTTGAACTTGGCACAGCTAAGCATGTGGGCAAAGTCTCTTTCAGGAGTAGGTGTTAGTCATTCCAGCCCCACCTCATCACTTCTGCTTCCTCACAGAACATAGGAGGGCATTTTTTAGGTGGAAGCAGTTGGAACACTGCATGTAGAAGATTCTGAGAAAAAGGGCTGGGTAGGATGTTCTCTGGAGGACTGTGAATTTCAGGGATATGTTCCTTAATAACATAGAATAACCACTAAAAACTTCCCATTTAAGCTCTGAACAGAGGTATTCCTGGGACTTGTATTTATTTGGAACTCTGACAAAGATTTTAACTTAGTTTTTTAAAAATCAGTTTCTTGTTCTGGAGGAGAACATTCTGAAAGTACATCTGAATTTACTACCATTAACGTTGAGCTATTTGAAGTATTTCCTTGGAGCCCTGTATTGTGTTTTAATATGCAGTGAACTTCAGTGAAACCAGTTACCCAGCCTATTCTACCTGTAGCAACATATTTACACTCTATAATGCTGTATTTCTTTCATTTATAAACTAGAAGGAGTAATTTAGAAGTAAAATATATTACAAGGCTTCATTGAGTTATTTGGAAGGCAGGCCGTGGGTTTTTCCATCACTGAGAATCTGTGCAGCCATATTGACACATCCTTCTGACTGATGTTTACCAGCCAGTCCCATTTAGCACTACCATTTTATTAAAAGATGGTGAATATCTGATGGTGCAGGCCTCCAGTGTACGATATATAGTTTATATATAGATTTATACTTAAAATGTGCATGTGGAGTTATTCCCAGCCATGAACTGGATTTGACTGGATCCGCTGAGAATCATTTTTCAATGTTCTTAGTGCTGAGAATGCTCAACTCGTGCTTGTCCTCTTTTCATTTGAAGTCATGACAGACAATTACAGAGGGAAATTTTCTACTTAGAATTTATTGTGTTTAGAAATATTACTCCTGTAAAGAAGGTTTAATTATCTATGCTTTAAATAGAAGTCAACAAAATTTATGGTAGGTTTCTCAAAGTGGAACAGATTTTCTCAAGTTTTGATGTGTAAGAAAAATAATTTACTATACTAACACTTGATAGTTCTGCTGTAGTTAATGATCTGTCAAGGCTGGTGTCAGGAAGTATTCATTCTTTATTAAAACTCAGTATGAGAAGCACTAATTTGTCACATACAGCAGTGAATTAGAATAACTCATCTGTCTTGTGATCTCTCCACAACAAGAAAACCCTTCTATCTGCTTAGATCTAAATTCATATTAACGTGTCCAAATGTACAGTCTGAATAATAGCCAACTATTTGTCTGTCCACTGTGAAGTGTCTGCGGATGTATTTTTTACTCTTCCCCTTCCTAAAATCCCCATAGTGTTTTCAGGAAGATGTCCTGGTCTATATCCTTGCAGTGTAGTTATTGGGTAGTGTTGGGCTGCACCTACTGCAAAGCAGAGCTCAGTTTCCTGGTGGTCTTGCCTATCCCAGTGTCTTGCTTTTTCCTACCCACCACCTCATTTTCTTAGCCTTTTTTTAAAAAAAAAAAACCAAAAACAAAACAACCAAGTCAAAAAGGTCCTACCAGTGACCCAGGGATAGTTCACAGCTGTGTTCCCAGATGGGAGGTATATTAAAATTCTTAGTTTTGGTCTTTCTCCCTAAGACAACAGGAACAACATGCTCATTTGTGAGATGGGGAAGAATATCTGTAGAATGAGCAAATCAATAGCGTGAACTTCCCTACTCTGTTTACTTCTGGTAAGTGTTTAAGAAGCAATGTCTTCTGCCTTTAAAGGGGAAACCTGTCTAGAATTGTGGAATATTTCATAAGCAGTTTCCAAAAATCGTAGAAGAAAAATTCTTAGAAATCTCAGACAACAGCCAAAACAGGAGAAAAGTTAATGGAGATTGAGATTGGGCAGAGCATGGTTGTGTGTCAGCTGAATTTGAATCACGTGTGGGGGACAAGCAGGCAAATTTTTACAGCAGTGAAAACCCCACAAATTTCCAAAAAGTCCCTAAGCTTACAACAATGGGATACCCATGTTTCCATGGTGGTTCTTTCACTTAGCAATTTATATGAATGGCTAATTTTACTTTCAAGCCAGCTGTAAATTTTGACTCTTCACTCTTACTTGCATGGCTGATTTTTAAGGTTAATCACACTGAAATCAACACATTCCAGACTTTAAAGGCAATATTACACTTTTTATTATTATTCTTAAATCTTGGGCTTATCCTTTGTCATTGACTGATTTGCCAGTAAAATTCAGGCATGAGGTTGGTAGTGCCTGAGAACTAGGTTTATACCAGCAGTGTAGGTGCACTTCTTTATGTGAACAAAGTATGCATGCATAAAATGGAGGCTCAGACTAACAAAAATGCATCTTGCTCTTTCTTTGTGGCTGACATTTTCCATTTTTGCAATTTTCAGTCTTTCCAAACCAGAGGGAAAAAAAAGAACTATGACAGTTTGACTGAATATACTTTACTGCCTATCATTTGCAGCTAAATCTGTAACGTTTTCATACAGCATTCTGCAAATAAAAAGACTTTCATTTAAAGGGGAAAAAGCCCCAAACCACTAATGTGGCATATTTGAGAAGCCCTTTTCAGAATCTCCCTTTCTCAGCCCCTTTTGCTTTGTAGATTCATATCACACCCATGTGCCTAGTAAAGCAATCATCTGAGATTTGTCAGATTTTATGGCTTTGAAAGCTAACAGGAGAGTTCAGCTGTGTATGACTTTTAATAAATAGCCATTTTATTTCTAATGACGTAGCCTTTAATTGCAACATTGGCCATTTCTGTAAGACTTCCTTAAAACCAACTCACAATAAATCTTTAGGAGCTTAAGAGGAAGAATTGCTACCACTTCTAGAGTCTAGTCAAGTAGTTCCTGTAAAACCCTTTTATTTTTGATGAGTTATTCTTCAGTATTTATGTAATTCTCTAAATTCTCAAGTGTAGGTAAAGAAAAGCTTCATACAATGTATTATAGTGCTTAGTTTACCCATTAGTTCAGCTGTAATTAACTTGTTGAAAGCTTAGTACTTCAAAAATAAATGAGATTATTTGTTCAAAATGCCATCAGGTCTGCTTGGAATGACATTTAAATTATGTAATGTAAATCAGTTTGACCTGTAAGTCCTTGTCATTATTTAGTGACATTTCGTACAGAATAAATTGTTTGCAGGTTGGGCAGTGTGGTAGGGAGCTTGGCAGAAAGCTATAAAAACAAATTATCCTTTCATTTTATACATCGTTTGCTCGGGCATTTGTAAAAACTGCTTCGGTTTCCTACAACAGAGGAGTGTCCCTCAGCGGTTTGAAGCCCTTGGGCTGCCGTGCCCAGGGCCGCAGCAGCTCAGCTGGTGTCTGGCTCGGGAGGGGGGTGTTGGGGAAAGGCTCTTGCGTCCTGCTGTGCCCAAAGGGAACCGGCCTGCTGCCGCCGCTCCCTCTGCTGGCTGCTTCAGAAGGTAAACGCTCAGTAGCAGCCACCAGCTGAAGGTTTCTCCAGCTGTAAGGAAGGAGGGCAGACATGGCACGAAGCTCCGTGAAAGCCACTGCCAGGTTTGTGTGCTTGGCACTGCCAGGGAAGCGAGGGAAAAGCCTATCTTCAGCAACCTCAGGTGGTCTGGGAACCATCTGAGCTGGGCCCAGGAAAATATGGACTGTGATATGTCTTGAGGTGTGTACTTCTCTAGGACTTCAAACACGTAAATCTGGGTTTCAGGGAAACCTCTGCCTTCACCTGGAGTTTTGGACCCCATCCAGGACCAGAGCACACAAGCCACTTTTTTGACAAGCGAATGAGGGTGACTAGATTGCTTTTAAGGTGCAGGTAAAGGAGGAGGTGCTGGCAAAACTCTTAATACCTGACAAATAAGGAATGCACTCAGCTGTATTTCACCCCCTCTGAGCAAGAGTGAATGTTTTTACAGAGGGGAGGAATCAAACCCTGCATCTTCTGCATTTTTAACAAGCGTTTTTACCAGGAGGTGATGGGAAAGGGGCACTATAACCATTTCCTCTAGCTTTCTTTTGTAAGAAAAGAGTTTCTTTAGAATTATTTTTTTATTTGTTTTCATTTTTTGTGTTTTTGCCTTTGGTATTTGTTGGTTTTGGTCGTTTTTTTTTTTCCCAAGAAAATTTGATTTTGCCTGTTTGCGTTATATTGCTCTTTAGGAGTCAGAGGTGCAGGATTGCCTTGATAAGGCCAAGCCAGCAGATAAGCAGTGCAGAGCAGTACAAAATTTGAACTCATTTCGAGCAAAATGACTTCTTTGTCACACTAGAAGTTTCCCAGCTCAGACATAAACTCAGGAACCTGTTGAAGACGCTTTGAGAATCATCATTTTCCTTTAAGTTTGTAAGCTCTATCAGGTCCCTCCCTCTGTGACTCCAGCCCATGTTCTTTTCAGCTGAGCCTCGAGAACTGTGCCTGCCTGCAGATCCAGGGGCGAGTCCGAGCCAACAGCCTGGCAGGGCAGTTACATTTCCAGAATATGAAATTCTAAGGCTGATTCACTTTTAGTGAAACATTTACTTGTGGCTTTGAATATTTTAAGTAAAATAGAAATTTTTCCAAGAGATGAAATATTTTCAGACTTCGAAATGAAATTGGTTTTATAAACTTCTGAAAAGCTAGTCTATCAGTAAAGTTAAGCTGCTCTATTAAAAAGACTATCTCTGGCCTTCCTATATGAGGTAAATGTACCAGCACAAGAATTTTTAGAAAGGATTTTTAATTATTAATTCATTTGCTAAGCATAATCTCTTGAAAGGTGGTAGTAAAATTTAATACTTGTCTCCTAACCTTTTCAAGCCGATCATGGAGCTTAAAGAAGACTGAATATGTAGATGCAGTTTCAAAAGCTCCCTAAAGTGCACCCCAAATTGTCACTGTTTCTTGGCTGCTATAGGTCCATATATGTGGATGTTAGGCAACTATTCCCATTCCTTTCTAATTTCATTTTACTGCAGTTGAGGTATGCTTCTCTCTGTTGTTTTAGTTTCCATAGGATTTGTTATGGATATAAGCCTACTGAGTGTTAGAAAACACTTAAGCATACTATGACCATTTTTAATTAGCCTAGTTATAGTACTGTCTGTTGCCTGGCATTTTTTTGTCTTTTTCCTATGCCCTTCTGTTGTGTCTTTACATATATTTTAGATTGTAAACTTCTTGGAGGGGAAGGTGAGCAAAAAACCATTTTTTCATTAGGGATATTTAAATAATCCTGAGATACCAAGACTGTTATTTAGGTAACAATTCTAGATATTGGCTTTGAATTTCAGATGAGGTCACAGTACAGATAACTGACAGCATTTCTATCTGTCATCTTCTGCACCTCCCCAGCCCCTCTTTTTACCACTAGGGTGCCTTTTTTCATATTTTCTCTCCCACCGTTGTGAGAAAACGTGAATTAATGTCTCACATAACAAAGTTTTCATTCCATGTGGATGGTGAGTTCCAGGACAGTAGCAAGAACTTTCAGCATTCAGATTAAATAATCCATTTTATATAGAATACCCGATATATCAGAAACAAATCTAAATCACAGTACGTTTCTTGGACTATTAAAATAATTAGGATATAGAAATTTGCAAATATTCAGCGGCTTATATGAACCCAAGAAATACATGGGATATAGAAGTAGGTAGAAATTTTCAGGATTGTTTTCCCTAAATTTCCTTATAGTGCATAGCAAAGTTTTTATTTGCAGTTAGTATTATTGTGATTTGTCCACTTCATATTTGAAGAAAACACAGTTGCTTGAACACTTTGCTCTCTGAATAGAGAAGAGGCAGAAAAAATACTTTTTCAGTCTTTTTTTTCCTTCTGATCTGTAACAAGCAATGCAAAAATGCCCCTGCAGAGACTTCCTCAGACTTATCAACCTTTGTTTAGGTCAAACACTCCAAACACAGCAGTGTTTGCTGGGAGCATGCAGCTATTAGCAGGAGTCAAACTGTGCACTGGACGGACCTTAACTAATCATCCCCATTACGAGGATAAGAACCTGAGAGAGCGCACGAAACAGGTAAGAGTGCTGTGATGGTTTAAGCTCATTCTCATCCCTGTCAGCAGCTCCATCCCAGGAAACAAGGCAGCCTCTAATGGCACGTTGCACAGGACCTCACGTGCTTTCCTTGTCCAACTAACTTATCTTCAGATACAGCTCCAGAAGTTAACTTCTGTGAAACCTGTAGTACTCTGGCATCTGCTAACTCACTGCTGGCAGCTGAGTGACTGCACAGAAGTACTGCAGCTCGTTCTGAGTGAACTGCTTTGGGTGCTGTTGGTATTAACAGATCCTGTGCCCAGTTGGGCTGTTACACCCCCATGGAGTATTTCCTGATTTGCCCGGTACTCCCTTCAGTTCCCAGACTCATACATAACATTTTACATAGAAACCACCTTGGGATACTCCACACAAAGCTGGGGTGATTGTTTTAAACTATCTTTTTCTACAGTGCAGACATTCTAAAAGTTTTAGAGGCATCTACCAAGGCCCTTCTGCAGACAGCAGCACCATTCAGTGGTTTTGTTAGCAGCAGCAGGGCTACTGTGCATCATTGTAGCCATAACATAGAAACCCTTAAGTGGCTCCTGAATAAAGCTGTTGTTGTTGTGGGTTGTTGGTTTTGTTTTTTTTTTTTTTAAATTATATAATTCATTTAATGGATTATCAATTTCAGTTCTTTCTCTGGTTCAAAATAACGAAGTCATGAAAGAGCAAACAGAAATAGCAGTAAGGTGTCTTACAGCTTATTTTTCTTCTTTTATAGATTTATCAGATCTATGCTAAGAGATCTCCTGAAGATGTTTACAGGATACTGCAGTCCTTTGGCACAGACTATGTGATCCTGGAGGACAGCATTTGTTACGAAAGAAGGCACAGTAGAGGCTGTCGGCTACGTGACTTACTTGATGTAGCTAATGGCCATGTAAGTACTGCCTACAAGATACAGAAAGAAAATACAGTTTGCTTAACTTCTTTTTGCAATACAATTGCAATTGTACCTTGGGTTATGTCCACTGCATCGTGAGCCTGGGAGGTAACATCTCATGGAGCCATTAGAGGTACTCAGAATCGGCAGATGGAACACGGCTTGCTTTGAATGGTCTTGATAACAAAAGGGGGAGGAGTTCAGCCTTGGCAAGGTAAGTCATCACTTTCTGATGAGCATCAGGTTAACAGGACACCCATTCAGAGTGTACATCACTTCATAGCTTCAGTTCCATCAGGACCTGTGGATGGTTTTACTGCTCTCTTGTGTCAGGGGGTTGTTGAAACATTTTTGGGGCTAACACAGAACCACAGGAGACTGCCTAACCCAAAGCACATAGCTACCTCTGAGAAACCAGCTTCATCAGTAATAGAGATGATAGAATCATAGAATCATAGGGG